GAAAGTGTCTGCTGTGTAGGCCACATAGAAAGATCACCCATGGGAGCTGACATGGAAAGTGTGTGTGTGTGTGTGTGTGTGTGTGTGTGTGTGTGTGTGTGTGTGTGTGTGTCTGTCTGTCTGTCTGTCTGTCTGTCTGTAGGGCAAAGGGGAGGAGGAGAAGAAGATAAGGAGGGAGAGGAGGAGGGCAGCTATAGAATGAGCTGTATCAATGCAGGCAGTTTTATGACTACACACAGAGAATGGTCTAAAAAGGATTTTATAAACAAGTTAACCCAATTATCTTTAGATTAAACATTTGTGTTATCTGTATTTTTCTATTGTTTCCTGGAGATAATAGATTACTTTTATAATGGGAAAGAATTTATTTTTCTTTACATTATTCTTTTGTTTAGCATACCCAAAATGAACTTTACTGTGATGTTTTTTTTTTGTGTGTGTGTGTGTGTGTGTGTGTGTGTCTGTTTCCATTACTTTTCTCATTGTTATTATAAAATATCTGATAAAAGAAACTGAAGGGAAGGAGAGCAGTTATGGTCCCTCATCTAGGAAGGCATACAGTGCAGTGTGGCTGGAAGCCAGGCAGCAGGAACCTGAGGTGGCTGGTCATGCTCACTTCACAGTCAGGAAGCAGAGAAAGTGAGTTCTGGTACTTACCCAGGTTCTCCTCTTTTCCCTCTTACTCAGTTCAGGACCCCAGCCCACGGGGGGGGGGTTGCCACCCACATTCAGGGTGCCCATTCCCATGCTCCCTTCCTTGCTGCCCCTGCCCCAGATAGTTCTTCCTTCTGTTCCCCTGACGTAAATATTCCATTATTCACTCCCAGCCCCCCTCCTCCGGTAAGTTAGACCCCTTCTTCCTAGCCCCCTTTCTATTTCCATGGGATTCACATGTACACACACACACTTAAACCTAGACCCTACATATGTGAGAATTTATGCAATATTTGTCTTAATGGTGATCATTAAATGAAGTGAAATGAGACTCTATTCCCGAATGTTCTATTGATGACCAGGGGATCTCCAGCTACCAGTTCTTGCTCTGCCCCACTTATGGGAAGAGCTGTCCCCTCAGGGTGGGGGTGGTGAAGCCTAGTTCTCAGCCTGCTTGGACTTGATGTTTACAAATAGCAACTCCATTCACCGCAGGGACCAGACAGGAAGGCAGGCAGTTGGACAGGCAGCCAGCAGATGGCTTCCAGCCAAGGGATGACACAGCTTTGGGAGAGGGACACCTCCTCCAGGGCTGCCAAGGGGACAGCCGTTTTCCTGCCCCCAGCTCATAACACATCATTCTCGGTTTTTTAAAGGTGTCCAGCTCTAGAGGCATGTCCTTGTAAGAAATTTGCACCAAATTAGGGCAGAATAGCCCTCTGTGACCACGTGTCTGGATCACCAAGAGTTCAGAAATTCTTCCCTGACGAGCAAGCACCAAGAAGGAGAGCTAGCCTAAGACACCAGAGCACCAGGTACACCATGCCATGTGACCAGAAGAGGGGGACACCAGGAGTCCAGAATGTTAGGACCTCCAAGAACACCTGGCATCTTTGCATATTTACTAAGACTCTGATACCAGTTCAGCCTTGACATGCTGATTAAGCCCCTCCCTGCCCTTGCTGACCAAGCTTCATCCAGTACATCACACACCCAATTCACAGTCAGTAGACTCTTAATTCTACTGTGTAGTCCTCTGAAATGCCAGCCCGTTCCTGTCGTTTCCCTTCTCATCCTTTGTGGGGCTTGCCTTCACAAGCAGGTGTCCCCAAGTCAACTGTTCTCCACCCACGAATTCCATCTCCTCCAGGCTCAATCCACACCCCCTACTGGATAAACTCTTGCCAGTTCCCTTAACTAGCAACTCTCATCCACTTTAAAGATGGAGAAACTGGAGTTTGTAACATGCCTAAGACAGCCAGGCTAAATGGTATCAGAGCACATCTCTGAGCATCTCTGAACATTGGGGTCCCTTTCTGAGAACCAGGCTTTCTCAAATGGGGGCTGGACCTTCTTGGAATCACAGTTATATGGAAGGTTTGTGGTTGATATATTGTGCACCCCAATAAACTTATCTGGGGGTCAGAGAACAGAACAGCCATTTTATTAAACATAGGTTTAGGCAATGCTAGCACATGCCTTTAATCCTAGCATTTAGGAAGCAGAGAGTTCAAAGCCACACTGGAAACAGCCAGGCATGATGACATACACCTTCAATCCCAGGAAGTGATGGCAAAAAGCAGAAAGGTATATAAGGCGTGAGGACCAGGAACCTTTTAAAGCTTTTTAAAGCTTTTAGCTTTTAGCAGCAGTGTAGCTGAGATCCATTTGGTTGAGGACACAGAGGCTTCCAGTTTGAAGACACAAGATCAGCTGAGAAGTTGGTGAGGTGAGGTTGGCTGTGTCTTGTTCTGCTTTTCTGATCTTTCATTGTTCACCCCAATATCTGTCTCTGGGGTTTGTTTTTATTAGTAAGACCTTAAGATTCATTCTATGACGGTTCATACAGGATCTAAGTCCAAATGCTGTCACATGCTAACGAATTACCTTGAGTGACATACCAGCATCATCATGCCTCAGTTCACTAATGAATTACAGGACAATGATAGCTATGTCTTTCAGTCACTGAGGCTGCATAGCAAGTCACCCCAACGTGCAGTGCCTATGGGGTGTAGATGGCTCAGCTGGTGATGAGTCTTTGAGACAAGCATGAGGACTGAGAGCTAGGTGTGACAGCACACATCTGTGACCTCAGTGCTGCAAGGCCAAAATAGGCAGATCCTTGAAGCTCATTGGCCACCAGCCCAGTCTAAACAATGAGCTTTGGGTTCAGTGAGAGACCCTGTCTCAAAGACCAAAGGTGGAGAGAGACTAAAGAGAGATACCCTGATGTTACCCCTGGCTGCCATTCACACTTGTACCCACAGGCATATGTGTGCATGTTCACATACCACATTGCACACAAACACAACATTTTTTTAATGTGGTGCTTGCACACGATTGCATTTATTTCATTCATTAAACTATCCCGACTCTGGAAAGAGAGGATTTCAGATAGCTTCTAGGCCAGCAGGAACAGTCCCCAGCAATCCCTGGTGTTTCTAGTCAGGGGGCCTGAGTGAACAAGCTTTGGATAGACTTGTGGTTTGGGGGGAGGGGGAGGGGGTCGATTTTCCCTTCATGAGCTTCATAACAGGAAAGATAAGCAGAGGTGCCTAAGCTGCTCCAGTCCAGCATCTCCACATCCCAGCAGTTCTCAGTGCCCAGCATGGCCAGCCCTGGCCAGCCCAACACAATAGGAGCCATGGGAACTGGAATAAAGACAGCAAGAGAATTGTAAAGATGTTATAAATGCTAGGGTCAGAGAGGACCACAGAAATCATATATCATAATCCCTCTGTTTCTCAGGTAATAAAAGTGAGATCCAGAAAGTGATTGAAATTGGCCCTGGTTTTCCTCCGTTCCCAGGGATGTTTCTATGACTGAACTCCAAGGCTGTCTACAGTTTGCAAGTCCTGGGCAGTGACTCCTCTTGTTCCTGGACCTTGGACCACTTGCTCTAGAGGAGTTGGTTGGAAACAGCCTGGACTTTCAGGTGGGGACTAAGGACACGTGCTCTTGCCTCAAGCACAGGGTTGGCTATGTATTTTATACAAGCCAGAGTAAAATGAAATACAGAGCCCCTCATCCAAATATTATACCTGTCAGCCTCGTGTTACCATTAGAAAAGACAGACAATAACTAATGTAAGGCTAATTTTGACTCAGAGTTTGGGAGGGACCAGACAGGATCTGCATCCACTGAAGACTGTGACAATAGTCTTCAATTGAGGACCCAGTTGTCCCCAGGTGCCAGCTCTACAGGTCTTAGCCACAAGAGCCACGTCCCCGGAGGCAGGGCTGTTGACCCAAGGGCCTGACTGAGGACGGCTTTTACCTCCTGAAGCCAGATTGAAAAACTGGAGAGGTATTTCTTCCTCAGATGCCCAAACACCAGCACAAGGCTACACAGATCATGAAAATCGTGGCCAAGACAGTACCACAGAAGCAAACCGAGAAAGCACCAGTAACCAACCCCACAGAAAGAGGAACTTTTGAGCTAACTCAGAAAGAATTCAGAATAATCATCCTAATGACGACAAGAGAATACAGCTAGATAAACAATGTATGAGCAAAGTAAGACTCTTCCAAAACTTCTGAGAGGAGGGAACAGGTCAGCTATCCCCATGACATACCCAGGTGAAGATAAAACAGAAAATAAGCAAAGAGAGAAGGAGGTAGGGATGGGGTGGGGAAGAGGAGGAGGAGGAGGAGGAGGAGGAGGAGGAGGAGGAAGGAAGAAACCTGCAGCCCAATATGCCTGACAAACAGAAAGATGTCCAATAAAAAACACAAGTGTGCCGGACCAGGGGGGTGTCTCAGTGGAGAAAATGCTCACTGCTCAAGTGGGAAGACCAGAGTTTGGATCCCCAGAACCCATATAAAAGCCAGGCGGATATGAAAGTACCTGTAATTCCAGTACACAGAGATTCCCAGAACTAACTCACTAGCTAAACCAGCCAGAATCCTTGAGCTCTGGGGTCAGAGAGAAGAGGCCTTGCTTCAGTTGAATAAAATGGAGAGTAGTCAAGGAAGATAGCTGATGTTCACTGTAGGCCTCTACATGCACATGTACCCCATATAAGTGTGAAAAAGCATATACATACACACCACACATGCACACAGATGCAAAACAAACTGCTCATGTACCTAATTCGACATCACATTAGATGAGACCTATACCATCATTGGTTAGTTGGCTTTCCATTACTATGACAAAATGCCAAAGAGAAATAACATAAAGAAGAAAGAACATTTCATTTTGGTTCACAGTTTCAAAGGCTTTGGTCCATGGTCACTTGGCTCATTGCCTCTAGGCCTCTGGAGAGTCAAAATGTCATGAGAAGGAGCATGTGGCAGACAGAACAAAGGGGACAGGGGCAAGGGTGTGTCCTTGAGGACCAGTACCTTCAGCCAGAGCCCACCTCCCATTTGTATCAGCTCCCAGTAGTCCATAGAACACTTCAGCATGTTGATTTACATGATGAGATCAAAGTCTTCATGGTCAGATTGGCCCTGGGTGCTGATGTACAAACCCGATTTCACCACAGGAGTCTATGGATCTTTGGATCTACAATAATAAAGTGGAATTTATGCAAGGGATGTAAGAATTGTTCAATATGT